ACCGTTAGCTTATGTATTATTGTGAATTGTCTACGTGTTAACTATTATTTTTAGTTCAAACAAGGACGCAACACAACCTGCTACAGCACCGACGAAAAATAAGCTCATCTCAGTTAAATACCACACTCGGAAACATTGTAAATATGCCGTGGATTTTATATTGTAATTAACGCATGTTGTGACTATTTATTGTTTTTATGCATAAGGTTATTAAGGAAAATGAAAATATATGATTAAAAAGAGCAGAAAAAGAGGAGAAAAGAAAAGAGAAAAATAAACAACGAAACTGCGTCGCCGAGAAAGAGAATACCTGAAATCAGAAGGTAAAAGTTAGAAACAAGGGGAGCTAATTCCGTCGTATGCATTCTTTCTCCTCATGCAAGGTTCGCAGGTCTGTCAAGCATTGCAGAGAGAGAGAGAGAGACAGTCCATGGATGCAATACCTGAAATCAGAAGGTAAAAAGTCAGAAACAAGGGGAGTTAATTCCGTCAAAATGACGTCACACACAATATACACCCCTATACATAGTATTCGATGACGTCACACATCCGGGTTACCCATTGACCCGCCGCCATTCTGTGTGTCAAACAAGGTTACCAGGTCAAAGGTGAGAAGATGGCGTCGAAACCGCCGCGAGCAGCAAAATTGAAGTATATTGAGACATTAGACCCTACTTCCAGAGCAAGATACTTTAACAAACTACAGTTGATAGACAGCATTGATCCGTACGATGTGCCAAAGAAAGATTGGTCAAGTGATGAGAAGGGCTTACCTGAAGTCACCTACCCCGACATCGTGAACTACCTTGTACACACACAGAGCGCTTACACACTGAGCGAGATGAAGTCCTTCAAGTCCCTCGAATCGTACAACCATTTCGTCTGTGGATGGGTGAAGGACTTACTGCATTTTACAGCAAACAATTATGTTGTTGTTGCTGCACGGGTGAGAATTTACTCTACTTTATAAGTATATGATAGTTATTTTACAGTAAAAGCTACGGCGTGAAGAATGCCTATGAGGCTATATTAAATGAGTTCTGAGTACAGTATATCGGCACTACAATAATTATTTTGTTAATTAATTATTCCAAGCAATAAATGTACATCCACATCACTTCACTTTGAAAATGCTGTTTTGTAACAATTCCTAACACAGATGTGTAGCACAGGATCAATTTGTTGTTTATAAATTATATATAATTATATTATGAGTAACATGATTATACCTATACTGTATACAGTTTGTCCTATATACTGTATACAGCTGTAGTCAAAATAGATATGAATATTGACTTATAGTAGGAAGTGATATCGATCCGTAAAAGGTCATGATAAATTGTAATTAAATATAATATTTTACTTATTCTAGGTCAAACACTCGCAACGGATGAATGATGCTCCTTTACAGCCATGGGTTTTATGTGAGAAGGATGGCAACATTGTCACAGGTCACTGCAACTGTATGGCAGGGCTAGGGGAAGCATGTAGTCACATTGGAGCAGTATTGTTTTATGTTGATGCTACAGTAAAGATAAGGAATTCAAAGACTGTGACACAGGAGCCAGCGTACTGGCTATTACCAAGAGGGATACAGAAGGTGGGATATGACACAATACAGAACATTGACTTCCAGTCTGCAAAGACCCTGAAAAGGAACCTCGATGAACAACTGTGCTCACCAAAGACGCCAAAAAGACAGATGTTAGGGCAAAACTTGCCGAATGTGTCATCACCGTCACAGAGTGAAGTGTCAACTTTCCTAAGTAAATTGCACAACACAGGCACAAAACCAGTTTTATTAGCACTCATGCCAGACTATGCTGCTAATTATGTTCCAAGACATCTCGGTGAGGAATATCCATCCATATTGTCCGACCTGTTTCGAGAAGACTGCAGTAATATGAACAGAGGAGATCTACTTGATCACTGCAAGGAGTTGTTTCACATAATTACAGTTTCAGACTTGCAGGCAACCAATGTAGAGTCAACCACCCGTCTTCAGACAGGATGCAAGCAGTGGTTTCGTTTTAGGACTGGTAGAGTGACTGCTTCAAAGATGAAGTCAGTGTGTGCCACATCAGTCGACAAACCATCACCGAGTCTAGTAAAACAGATTTGCTATCCATCTCAAGTGAAATTCAGCACAGATGTCAACATGAAACAACAGCTCTTGACACCTATTGTCAAAGTATGAATTTGTTTCATGAGAACTTCACATGTCGTAAGAGTGGTCTTGTCATCAATCCAAAGTACCCATACATTGGAGCTTCACCAGATTCTGTTGTGTCCTGTGATTGTTGTGGGGAAGGAACTGTTGAAGTAAAATGTCCATACTGTGTCGGGTCTATGCCCATTACAGAAGCAACAGATATAAAGGCATCCTGCTTAGAGAGCATAGATGGCAGTGTTCGTTTGAAGAGGAAACACTCATATTATTCTCAGGTGCAGACCCAGATTTTTGTGTGCGACAAAGAGTTTTGTGACTTTGTTGTATGGACGGAGCAAGAGGTCCACATAGAAAGGATAGAGCCTGATGAGGAATTTTGGAATACTGTAACAACGAAGGCTGAAGAATTCTTTAAATGTGCCATCCTTCCAGAACTTGTAGGAAAATGTTATTCCAGAGCAGTTAATGCATGCAGTAAAGCACCTTCTGTGTCAAGTCCTAGTGGTAGAGCAGTGTCCAGTGTAATGAGTACTGGTACAACAGTGTCCAGTGTAAAGAGTACCGATACTACAGCATCTAACATAACAAATCAGTCAGCAACAGTCGGTAATGACACAGCAAAAGATTGCATATGTATATGCAGACAACCATATGACCCAGAGTTTGACCGTGTGGTTGGTTGTGACAACCAAAACTGTCCATATGTATGGTTACATTTCACTTGTGTAAACATTAAGAGAGCACCTAAGGCCAAGGGTAATTGGTACTGTCCGCAGTGTCGGACACTTCCACAGGTTAAGAAATGAACATTAGCAAGCTACCAGTGTTGATGAAAGCTTCAGGGACATGCATATAGTTGCAAAAATAAATTAAAGAAGTTTATTTCTATGTACCAATGAATAAAAGTTTAAAGGTTCTTTAAATAATTTTTTAATATTTGCATTTTTAAGATATGTAATGCATGAATATTTGTACAGGTATATTTCCATACACTATTATTGATAATGCTAGCTAGTCAGTGTATGGGTATCTTTGACATTTCAGAAATAGAAATGTCTTTTGGTGTATTCTTGATAATTATTATATTTAAATTTATACATGTATGCTTAAGACTTAAATTTGATATTTGATTCATCAGTATACTGTTTATAAATTTTTCAGTGATTAATCTACAATTCATTTTTACAAGTCCTTTTTAACTGTATTGCTAAAAACAATGAGTCCCACAATATTAAATTTAAGTATTTCCAGAAATTCTGTGAGTCCCATAAAAATTCTGTGAGTATAGGACTCGGGACTCGCATGTAGCTTTATCACTGCTTTATATATATATATATATATATATATAGATCTAGATCTCTGTGTATGTTTACATTGACCATGATCATTTATTATTATAATTATGATAATTACATTGTATATTATCAGGTTTAAAGTTTGAATAAAATGACTTGCCAACAATTCTTTTCCTTGTTTTATCTTTCAAAAAGTTCAATGTCGGTAGCTAGTATGACAGATGTTATTGATGTGTAAATTTTGAGTTGTCTGTGGTTTTTTGATATTGGCATTTCTTTCGTTATTTTATATTGTAAGTTTGAAAGATCATACATGTATTTGATGATGATCATCCTTGCCCATTAACAAAGGACTTGAAAAATTTCATTTGATCATGATCAAAAGAAAATAAACTCAATATCATCTACCACAAAACAAATTGAAAGATTTCATTTGATTATGATCAAAAGAAAAGACCAAATTGAATGTCATCTCAGTACTTAACAAACAAATTGAAAGATCATACATTTGATCATGGTTATATATCATTATTATGAAACATAGAGCCTGATGAGGAATTTTGGAATACTGTAACACCAAAGGCTGAGGAATTATTTAAATGTGCCATCCTTCCAGAACATGATCAACAGAACAAATAAAATTTGTGGATTTCCTGTAATTGTCATCACCAGAACAAAACAAACTTGACAGATTTTCTTTGATCCTGATCTCAAACTATATGCAAAGAAAAAATTTTTTTTTTTAAAGGTTTCATTTTTTAATGAATTAAAGAAACAATTGTTTCCATTCAGGATTGCATGAATGTTAATACTATTGCAATGATGCTATTGTAATAAATCCAGTACAAACAAAAATAAATATGCAATTGTATACACAATAGCATTCGCTTTGCAACATAATAATCATTATATAAACCATACAATAAACTACAATGTAATTCAATTTAGTCAAATGGTACAACTGATTCGCAAAAGTTAGTCAAGCTGCAACACACTGTTACAATCTTGTCAACAGCAGGCACATCATTTTGGGCACTCAACAAAAAGTCAATAGGCAGAGTATCTGACAATATTGTGTATTTGTTTCTAACAAGTCCAATAACTCTTTCCACATGTATTCTTAAATGCGCAATGTTTCGAGACTGTTCAACCTCAAATGCTGGTAGTTGTGACTTTCCTTTGGTGAAACTTGGCACCTTCACTTCGCAACACATGACACCAACACTTTCTTGAATATCAAATCCTCGATCAGCAAGAATGAAGTCACCTGGTAGAAGATTTTTTAGAAGTCCACAATGTTCTGTTATGTGTTTGTCACTAGCACGTCCACCCCATGCTTGTGAAAGAAAGGAAATGGACCCTTGAGGTGTTATTCCAATTAAGTACTTGACAGTATTGTGATGTTTGTATGATGACCAGGTCATTGCTCGAGCCAATAAATTTGATGGTCTTTCGATAAAAATCTCAAAGCAATCAATGATTACAGCCACTTTAAGTCCATATTTTTTTTCTAAATTCCATTGGCATAGTCATTCTTAATTGTTCCTTTGAGGCCAGTAAATGAAATCTTTCAGTTTGATGAACATGACATGGATGACGCTTAAAAATGCCCTTGATATTGTCGCTTGAGATACATCAAATCTGTACGCCAAGTCCTGCACTGGCAGGTTAAGTCTAAGTCTCATCAGAACAAGAATCAACTTCTGAAACTTTGTCAATGAAGATCTGTTGCCGTCTGGGATGTCTGACATCAGAAACTCAAATAATGACATTAATGTTAGAAAACCTGGAAGACCAGTGTAATAGTTCACTTTCTTGTCATCTTTGAAAGAATCTTCACTAATCTTTGCTTCCTGTACTTTGTCCCGTAGACTTATATTTTCTGTTGTAAGCCTCTGACATTCATCACTCACTTGTTTAAACAAAGTTTCATCGATAGGCTTTGTACTTGGGAAATCTGTGTCATCTGCTGTGCACTGTGCTTCATTTACCTGTGCATGTGGATGCTGGTCTTCAAGTGTACCACACAAATAGAAAAGACAGTTTTTTCTTTTAACTTCTATTTCTTCATTGTCAGAATAGTAGTCTTGAGCACGAACATCAAAATGTGATAACTCTAATAGTGCTTCCGCAACAATGCTTTTCTCTTTTTGTGCCTTCCTTGCATGAGCTCTTTCATATCTACGAGTACTACCAACGTTTCTATAACTGGTTTCATCTGTGTTGCCCTTGTCCTCACCAGTGAGTCTGAGGGACGGAGCCCAATCTGGGTTGGTTGTGTCATATAAACTACCTGGTTTCCCTGAAAATATAAAAAAAATACATATGTAAATGTCTTCAATGTATATATTGAAATAGTCTAAATAGTTACTTTAACAATCATGTATTCATATATATACATACATTTCAGTACACACATTACTTTTATTCCCTTAATTTAAATTTATGTCAAACTGATCATGAACAACAAAGATTATTTATGACTGCACCATATCTCTGTTTATATGAATAATACACAACATCTTGAGGCTCTGGGGTAGATATAGCATTACTATGTCGGTAGGAATCACCTCACTGTGTTACGTCACATATGATACCTGGTGAAAGCACATGTACAGCCTACAGGTAAAATATTTTAGACACCTGTGGTGTAACTGTAAGCTACACTGCCTTTTATTCTACATACAGAGATTTTTTGGGCTTCAGGACCCCCTCCACCATACTAATGAGAATTTTCTTTAAAAAAGTGTATTTTCACCAAATTCATCTAGTTTTCCTCACATGGTAATCC